AAGATAAGCTCTGGCTATGAATCTGACGCTTAACACAACAGAATATATATAACAAGCAATACGAAAACTAGCAAAAAGGAAACCAAAAACAAGAAGAACGAAATTAAAACTTTCCAATCTGCACACAGACAAGTTGTTTTTCGACAAGTGATACAACTGCGGTGGCAGCTAACCGACATCTCCCTACTCCTTCATCCGTACACTTATCAACGGAAATTCAGCTGGACACCTCCTCAAGTCGAGCAAAGAGTGAAGAGCACCAAAAGATGGCAAGCGACAACATTGCCACAACCGACATCAGCCAGCAAGAAGAGCGGCAACAGGACGACAACTCTCGCATGGCAATTGCCGGCTGGCTAGCGACACCAACAGAGCACCAGCAAGAACAAGGATGTGCGGAAATATTAGAAGCACTATTGGGTATTGCGGTGCAAACGAAAACGGAGATGACAACGGAGCAGTCAAAATCAGTGGTAAAACAACAACAGCCGGCACTTGTGGAATTGAGCCAAATCGAGTTGATCTATCGCGCGGAGGGTAATGCAAATTTGGTGCTAGCATTGCCGCAATTTAAAAAAGTTTTGCGTCTGCCAAAAACTGCGCTGCCGAGCACCGAGTACAACAACATTCAAATTCAAATTGGTAATACACAACAGCAGCGGGATGTGGAAGTGGTCGATGAAGAGTGGCAGCAACATCAAGAGCAACGACAACAATGGCAACCACAACAAACTCTAGAACAATGGCAATTGCAACATCAACAGAAGCAGCAACAAAAACGGCAGGAGGTAGTCAAAAGTGCTTCCGACTCGGCTGTAAATCAAAATGCAAAAGGTTAGTTTTTGTTGCAGGATATTATGTGGCGGCCGCTGTTGTGTCCTGGCGATGGCGATATCGAGCCGCAGTCAGGCAACAGAGCGCCATCAACACTATCCGCATTTTTGCAAGGCATATACATACATATGTATGTATGTAGATTGTATGGGCGGCATATTGTTATTTTTATTTTTGATGGGCAGCTCTGTTGGCTAAAGTTGGCACGAATCTCTGCCGAAACGTGTGTTTATTTCATTTATTTGTTATACAAAATTCCATTGCCTTCGCCTTCGGTTGGTATCGCAATTGGCAGCAGCTATTTCTCGTACCAGATTTTGCTACCCACCAACTTATCTACATACATACATAAATACTTTGGCTGCTGCGCATAGTTTCATTTCATTGCTGGTCATTTTATTGTTGGCTAATTTATTTCAAATTGTAACCGCAATTGCAGACTTGACAATGGAGGAGTTTGTGGCTTACATCGAGGTAATACGAAATCTGCTTGGCAATGAATGTATATTCGAGACAGAGATTGTGCGAATAGAGAAGGGAGAAGACAAAAGGTGGATAAACGAGCAGATTCGTCCGGATCGGCCAGGTAAGTGGCAAAGGGAGATTCTGCAAATGAGTTCTGACAAATATTTATGTATATATGTATGGATATTACCCATAAATTAAACCTACTATATCCAGAACTTATGTATATGCACATTAGGCTGGTTCAGCACTGTCTCTAGTTAGTCAAAGGAAAATCAGATGGATTTCTCTATTTATAATTTCAAGAGGCCAAATCAGTGACATCGCTTCGGTTTCATACAAAGAGGCTTCTTCCTTCGCCAATACGTTAGCTCCTTTCTACATCCGGGAAACCTGACAAGATAAACAATCACTAACCGAGATCCTGAACCCAATTCCATTTTGCATTTTTTAACCAGTTGGCTACCGGAGATTCTATTGCCAATAGCGCAATAAAAAAATAAATAAAAACATCGAGTTCCTCAGAGTAGACTCTCGCGCCTACACCTCGGTTCATATTGAGTTTGTTAGTGTAGAGCCAGAGAGTGATAGTCACTTTATCGGCCACACGATCTGTTCTCCACGATTCTCGTCTGGGAGGAAGCTTGGCTACCGCATAATCTGTCGTCCCTTCTAAATGCATTTGCTTCACGATAAACCCGACAAACTTCTACTCTACGTCATAGTCAGAAAATCGACAGTTTTCGGCAGAAAATCGACAGGCACTAGATTGCGAATGGCATTTAGTGATTATGTCAGGCAAGATCTTAGTTTTCAAACATTATATTGCTTATTTAGTCCAAGCCACCAAACCACGATTGGTCCTATAATAGTTTTTAGCCCCTACTATGTATTTTCGACGTTGATTTTCCAGTTTGATGTTCAGCACGGCTCCAGGATACTTTTCGCCGTCTCTCCAAAAAGTGTAGGCTTACAGGACAATTCTGGCTAAGAAAGTCGAAAGTCTTTAGTCAGTCAATTAGGAAAGTCAATTAGGAAAGATAAGTAGTTTGCACGACTTTGTTTATTACGGCACGAAAGTTTTACAAAAAAGCTCCTTTGCCAAATTTCATAGTGAAAAGCTCTTTTGACAGAAACCGCTGGTATATCATTTTACTCGCGGTGCCCCAACATTCGCAACGTAAAAGTGAACAAAGCACTCTCGTGCCATTTGAGATATCCAAAGTTCGAGTCCTCGGGCTGCGCATGTTTTTTTCTTTTAATTTGTTTATTTCATTTTTAATTAAATTTTCTTTAAATTTTTAGTTTTTATTGTTTTCGAAAAAGAAAAATATATAAATGTACATATGTATATACATATTTTTAAAATTTTATTAAATCTTTAAAAACTTATTTT